GGGCAGCTGTGTGGCCCACACCCCACACCACTCTCCAGCGGGCACCCGGCCTGCCCGTGCTCCCCATGCGCCTCGGGCTTCGCCTCGCCCAGTTCTGACTGGCGCTGAGCACCCCCCAGGGCTGCGAGGCTGTCATCAGACACACAGGTGTTTCTCACAGCCGCGGGGTTCCAAGAAGAGATGGCGAAAGGCTGAGCTCACCCGCATCTCAGTCCGCTCAGTCTCCGTGGGGCTGGGCCAGCACAGGGACTGTCAGCGGGCTCGAGAGAAAGGCCTTGGGGTTCTGGCACTGGACATCTGCGCTGTGGACCACCAAGCGAGGCATCCAGAACACACTTCTAAAACAGGCCCAGGACCTGCCCATCTGTCACTTGGCACAAGAGGCCCTTAGAAGTGTTTTCCTCAGGAGCAAAAGAGCTCCTGCCTCCAGTGCCCGAGGAGCTCTGCTGGGACAAGAGGGCTGGAAAAGGTGCTCAGTGTGTGGGGTCCACGCCCAACCTGAACGTGTCAGGGAGCAGTGGCCGCGGGATGTGGCCCTTCCATGTCCTGTCTGCTCATCCTGCTCACAGTCATCAGCGAACATCTGCAGTGGGACCCACCACATCAGGGAGCAGCTGAGTCCTCACGCTCTGTGCTGCCGGATGGGCACCATACGTGTGTTCTCAGGGCATCCGGGCTTTCTCTTCTCTGGGGGTCTCAGACACACCCAGTCTAGCAGTGTCTCCCCAGCTCCTGCCCGGTCCCAGGTGACCTTGCTCCAGGGGGCGGCCTAATTCCCCACTCGGCATCCAGCAAGGTTCCTGCGCTTGCTGTGCCATCTTCCCAGTGACGTGTCTGCAGGCAAGATGTGCTCACGTCCTTCCTGCAGAGCCCTCCAGACTCATGAACCCCCGGCCTGGAGCAGTTGCTCTCGGAGCAGTCACTTGCCAGATGGGAAGGGCGAGATCTCCTCAGCCTGACTCTCTCCAAAGTCAGACCGCCGAGCTCAGCCCAGCCCTGCCGTTCCGAGCTGTGCGACTCTAGGCAGTGTCCTGTGCCTTAGCAGCAGCAGCAGCCCCGCGAAGGAAAGAGCTAAGCACGACCAGCCTGGAACTTCCTCCCCTGCCCCCCTTGGAGGCAGAAGCACTTGCCCGCTAACAGATGTCCTTCTCCCCTTGCTGGGGCTGTCTCCTCACCTCATGCAAGTGTTGTAATGGGACAGAGGGAGACCTGATAAAGCTCAACAAAAAGTGCTGCTGCCAGGCCACCGCCACTCCTGGCAACCAGCAGAGAAGCCACCTACCCAGAGAGCCACTGTCCTCCACTGCTCATCCCCTCTGATGGCTTCAGAAGTCCCTGCAAGGTCACCTTGTAGCATGCATGTGCGAGGGTGCACCAGACACACGTGACCTTCAGTGACCCCGTGCTTTCTATTTTTGGGTGGAAAATGATTGATTTCTCTGAGTTTCAGCCATGTTCCTCTCAGGTTCTGGGCTACTAGGTGGCTTTTTAATTTGCACAGTGCTTCTACAAAATACCTGGCAGGAGAGACTTCACCACATTCCCGTACTGGGGTCCCAGTGTGCATCATCCAAACTAACCCAGGCTCTCTGGATGCTTGGAGGCTGGCCGTTCAATGAGTCCCGTATGACTCTGCAGTGAATTTAAATCTATGGAGCGCACCATAAAACTTACAGGTTCCATGCCCTGTGGACACACTGCTTCCTGGAAGCCCGAGGCAGCTGACTGGGACAGCATTTCCCAAACACCAGCTGTTGGGGGCCCATCCAGAACAGAACTCGTGGTTGCTTGCCACTCAGCCAGGCTCGCCAGGGCTCAGTGTGCACACTGAGCATCAGAGTCATCAGAGTTCAAGCCCCTACTCTGCCCTTCAAATGCTCTGTGGCCCTGAGGAGCACAGATGGGCTCTTTGCCTGAGTTGTCCCATCTGTAAAGTGGGATGGTAACAGTCCAGCGCCTAATGAACCTGACATGGCAGACCAGTAGGACAGCAGCTGGCAATCACTCAGTAGTCGTGGGCAGGGTGCTTGTGGCTGTCATCACTGGGACAGTTGAGTGGCTTTGCCTGGCAGAGGTAGACTCTCACTCTGACCCGAGGCTACCCATCAGACTCTGTGAGGCCTGTGATCTTTGCAATCCACACCAGCCTCTCCCCTCCTCACCTCTTCTCATCCTGGACCCCGTGTGCTGCTGGGCAGCTTGCAGCCTGGCAAACACAACACTCTGCCCTCCAGGTCCTGACACACCTTGCACTGTGCTGGGCTACAACAACACCTGTTCATCTCCCTAACAGCCCCAAAGAAGGTGCTGCCCCCATGACAGCCCTGGGCCACCCTCCTCCACTCCCCACCTCTTCCCATGCTTCAAAACCTTCTGTCCAAGTCCCAGGGTGCACCTGTGCTTGGCCTTGTTTCTCTTCAGTGGTCTCCTCTGTCGAGTCATGGTCCAAAGTGCCCACCAGAGGTGGATTCACAGAAAGTGCTAAGCGCACACAGGAAAGGCGCCAGCCAGTGCAGTGGGGACACGCCGCTTCCGCCATGAGGGCTGCCTGCCTCTGAAGGTGGGCTTTCTGAAGCCTGTGCCTCAAGCTGTACAATTCTCAGACCTCTGCTAGAAAAGAACTTGTGCATGATCACTTCTCACTGGGACTTGTGGTCACTGTTGTCAGGGTCAGCCATCCATTCTGTTGTCTTTAGAGCTGGCTCGGTGGCAACAAGGACATGCTGGAGAGTGAACGGCCACTCAGAATCAAGCAGCACTGAAGTCAACCCAGGCACCCTGGGCCCTTGAGAGGCCTCCTTCCCAGAGCTTCTGCCCCTACCTGCACCTCTGCACCCTGGGGAGGAAAAGGAGCCTCCTCTTGGAGGTCCCAGGCTGGGTGCCACAGCCCTGCGTCCGTGTCAGCCTGGGGAATTCCGGTGCCAACAACAGTGTGCACCATGCAGAGCAGCATCAGTGCAAAGATGACCAGTGCTCTTCGAATTCCTGTCACCCTGCGGCGTCCCCCTCATCCTGCCCAGGGCCCAAAGCTGCGTGGGGGGGGAGGGGCTCAGCTCCGCAGTGCTCACTGCTCCGTGTGTACAGCTTGAGGGACAGTGGAGGCTCGGGACTTGTCAAGCTGGGGCTGGTGACAGTGCATCTTGTGGCGGCGACTGCCCCTCCCTGTCTGCTCCAGGCCCGGGGCTTGAGGGTGGGCTGCAGCCTCCCCCGCGAGGTATTTATGACCTTCACATTCCAGAATCCACTCCCTGCCACGGAAGTAGTACCCGTAAGCATGTGATGCAAATCATGTTCAATTGTTTTAAGAGGACACACCAGCCAGGTGTTGTACATCATGTTTTAATGCTTCGGAAACCACCTGCAAAGTGATTCGTGCTGTCGCCCGACGTGCTCTCCCACTGAGGAAGGGAGAGGCCAGCGGAAACCACGACACATTCAGAATCCAATCACGGATGTAGCTGAAATGCTGCAGAAATTTTGAAGTCTTATTAAATGCATATGTTTAAATTGCACCTTAGTGATGCATATGTCCCCCTCAAGAAAATTTTTAAAGACACTAAATTCAAATATATCAGAAAGACAGAAATAACATAGATGAGAATTTATAGGTGGCTGACATTTTGGTTAGGTTATTTCATTAGGCAGATGAGATTTGATACAGTGTATATACCAATTCTCACACAAGGAATGTACTTACTATCATCACAAAAACATATACTAATAAAAAGTGAGATAAAAATGCTAAATTCTAATTATCTGTAACACTGATGTGTTCTATGTATTCCTGTCAGTTTGAGTTACGTTATTCAAATAATTTCAATAGAGGCCAGTAAAATGCTGTTCTGGTTATGGAAAGAGAAAAGTCAGCCTGTAACTTCAAACTTTCATTACTGCATCTCCTCCACGTGGGAGCCAGTGGGAGCGCGCGCTGTCCCTCCTCCGCCCGCCGCCCGCCACTGCATTCACTGCCTGCGAGTGGCAGCTGGCGGGCTGGCCCAGCAGCTTCTTGCTGATGCTCCCTATGACTTCCTGAAGGTGACACAACTGGGGTGAATGAATGGACAAGAACCAGGACGTGAGGGCCGGGCAGGCTGGGGCTGCCCGGCTCTGCTCAGGCCTGCTCTCTGCCTCTCCCTGTCCTAGGAGTCTTAGGGCAGAGCCGCGGCCCCCTCCAACTGGGCTACAGCCAGGGCCTCCACCCCCGAGTCTAAAATGCCGTGTGGGTTTTCACAGAAGACTGTGCCGACCCCTGCTCCAAATAGCCTCACCGTTCTTTGACTTTCTCATAAATGTCATACACATGGGTTTACAAAATAAACTCGTCCTAAAAGGCTAGGTTTCTTCTCCTCCTACTGGAGCTCCTTACAAGATTTCATCTTTAAAAATTAACAGAAGGCTACATTGCTGATAACCATTTGTGGCGCTGTGTCAGGGTGAAATGACTCTCACCAGCAGAATGGAAATGATTTGAGAGGAAGCGTGAGCGGGCGCTTTCAAGTGTGCAAAAGCTGAAAGGAGCTGCTGGGTAGACTGCGTTAGTGGTAATTTTAGCTCTCAACTGTATTCTATTAATGTTTGTGCTTGGTGGCAAAACACAGCCAAAGCAGCAGCCTACGAGGAGTTGCTTTTCGTGGTGCAGAAATCTGCAGAGTGTGGGGCCGGGGTGAAGCTCAGGGCAAGGCGCATGTGTGGTATGTGCAAGGGCCTGGGGTCCGACCCCGCTCTAGGAAAATATTTTTAAGAAACAAGCCATGGTTGTTTGGAAAGCGATACACTGATTCCTTGACATGGTCGCTAGAATGTTGCTCATCCCAGCTGCATTTTTCCAGTCTCACTCTTCACACTTTCTCAGAGGAAGCTGCAGACATTTCAGCGCCCATGGCTCCATCTCCCTGCTTGGACCGCGAGTGTGTGGCCCGCGGGCGGGAGCCCACAGCCAGCCCTGCTCCAGGGGCCTGCCGGCCAGAAGGCACTCAGCGACTCCCTACCTGTCGTTGCAGGATATTCCCTGAGTCCCTTCGGTGGCTGATGGCGACCCAGCAGTTTGAGGCCGCAAAGAAGCTGGTCCTGCACTTCACGCAGAAGAACTGCATAAGCCCAGAGAGCGACATCAAGGGCGTGATGCCGGGTGAGTGCCGCATCCGGCCCCACGGGCTGTCAGCTGCTTGTAACCTGCCGGTCCAGGAAGGGCAACCTCGGCCACTCATGGCCAGGACTAAGTGGGAGCTGAAGTGCTCTCTTCTGAGCGCTGGTTCCCTTCACGGTCTCATGCCGCACGCACTGCTCAGCCACGTCTAGAGGTGAGGTCTGAGCCTAGCACACAGCTGGTCCCCCCAAGGGGATTGGTGCGGGGCTGGGCACCTCCCAGAGTCCGGGCTCAGGCATCCATGAACCCCACAACCCCTTCCCCCAAGCATGACCAGCAGAGAGCTGCCAAGGTCTATTTCCAGCCCTGACCTATTTGCTAGGCAATGGAAGGATGGGAAGAGTGAGCTGTTATACAATGCTTTGGATCTGCAGATTTCTAAGGGATTGGGCACTGCCACAGTCTAGGTGGGGCTCCTAAACTGGAGATCCTGGAATGGCACTGGAGGGTGTTCTGGTTCAGACTGCAGAGCCCCTGGCCAGCACCCGAGATGCTGACCTGGGAGATCTGGGTGAGCCCTGAGGGCTCGGAGGTGTGCAAAGCACAGAAGAGAAGAGGTTCCGGTATGAGTGCTGTGCAGATCTGCTGCCCTGGCAGCCGCAGGCTCTGCCCCATCCTGACCTTCAGCTCTGGTGTACCATGTTGTAAAATTCCTGGGACACTGACTCACACCCTTGTCTGAGTACGCACTTTCCCCAACAGTCAGAAGTCCTTGTGCTGATCATTTGTTGACTCAGTTAACGATGCTTCCTGGGCACCAAGGTGTATCAGCCACCATTCTAGTGCAGAGAAGGAGGGGGACCAGCCTTGCCTGGGGCAGGGAGCACAGAGGCAGGGGTCAGTGGGGGGACACCAGCAGAGCAACAGAAGGGGTGGCGAGTGACTGAGGTCAGGAGAGCTGAGGGCCTGGCCCCAAGCTCCAAGACAAAGGGACTTGAGCCAAGCAGGGCGAGGAGCCCACAGAAATTGGATCAGAAGCCCGTGATGCCCAGTCAGGCTTCTCACCAGACCTCAGTCGGGAACCCACAGAGACCTGCAGCCCTACGAGGCTCTGCCACACACATGGTCCCACAGCAGTCAGGCGAGGGTTCTGGCTTCCAGGGGTTCAATGCTGCGCCTTCAGGCCCCTGTCCCCTTGAGCCCAGGCTGCCTGTGTGGTGTGGCATGACAGTCTGCTTCTACAGGCCTGGCAAATGTTACCTCATATTTAATACTAAATACTATATACAAGTTAACCTATTTCTTTACAGCCATTCTCTAGGGAGATGCTACAATGATCCCCATTTGCAGATCTGGAACCTGAGGTGCCTACAGCCTAAGTGGTCTTGGGGGGGGGGGGAGTGGCTTCCATTAGCAGCTCTGAGAAATGAGGGTGACCTCGGAGAAGTGCCTAGAAGGGAAAGACTATTGTGTGGAGGTTTCTCCTGGGGCCCGGGGCTTTCCCGAGCTTCCGCGTCCCCTTCTGAGCAAGTTCTTGTCCTGCAATGCCCTCTTCTCAAGCCTTTCAGTAATCAAATCACCACGCTCCCTGCCTCTCGGGTGAAATACCATGTGGTGAAGCTTGTTTGCTCAATCCTAATTACACGGGACCCTTGCCCTCCTGCTTTGGAGAAGGGAAGCAAGTCGTTGGTCAGTATGCCTGCTTGCCTGCTGCTTCTAGGTTTTGCTCGTTCATGTGTTTGGCCCAGATTCCTTGGAGAGAAGGTTAGGCCTAGGGTGGCTGGCCAGTGACTTAACAAAGAGGGGAGAAATGTCGCCCCCTCCTGGAAGCTGATCTCACTTCTGCCTCTTGCTCTGTCACCTTGATGGTAGAGGAATTAATGACAGACCTGCCCTTCCCCCTCAGAACTGAGTTCCCATCCCTTCCCCTCCCCCAGTCCTCTCCTGGTCTACTCAGCCCCCACCCCCAATGGCCCCTGCTCTTCCCTTCCCCTCAGCTGTCCCTCCTTCTGCAGCCAGAACAGACACCATCTGATCCCATAGACCCCTCTTAGGGACCTCCAGTGGGATGAATCTCCACATCGCCATATGGTGGAGGAGGCCCTGCCAACCTCCCCTAACCCCAGAGGCCCACCCAGGTCTGCTCCCACTCCTCTCCCTGCGGCATCCACCCCAGGAAGTCCCGCCCTCTCTGACTCCCTCTGACTCCCACCTTGACCAGCTCCTGGGGGCTCAGTCCACCTCAGTCTTACACTGTCACAGCTGTCCCCTCACCCCGACTCCCCACCCCTTGTAGGACTCCTTGTCAGTGTGTCCTGACCTAGGGTTTATGCCCAAGGAAAACCTGATCTTCCCAAATGTCCCACATCCATCCCTCTTCTAAAGCTAGCTCCAGTTTGCCTCTGAGCCCCTGTGATGTTCTGGGTGGCGTGAGCCGCCATATTGCTTTAGGCTCTTGGAAGTGTGTCTGGGTGTCATCCTCACAGTGTCCCGTGACACACCTGTACAGCAGCACTCCTGCCTGGTCACACTGCCCAGGATTTTGATCTTTTATAGTACCATGGAGTCTTGCTGCTTCCAAATGTGGCTGTGTCAGCTGCGGCCCACTGCAGGCAGAAACCCTGGGATAAGAGCCCGGTACTGCCTGGCGTCACAGCCTCTAGGGGAGGGGCTCTCCCTACTTATCAGATGGGGGAGACCCCACGGGGGTGCAAGTGGAGGACCCCCCAATAGAAGCGCCATCCCAGGGACAGACACACTGCCGTTCTTGGGGACTGCCAGAGCCCTCAAAGAGGAACCCTCATGAGAAAGCAAGCCTACCTCCAATGCCAGGATGCAAGGTTAGGGTCCATGTGGCCCAAGCCACCCTCTCGAAGCCCACATGCGGTCCCCTGCCTGGGGAGCTGAGAGGAACAGGATCAGCCACCCCGGTGTCCTGGCACTCACCAAGATGAGGCAGACTTGAGCCAAGGCCCGGGGTGCTGACCCCTCTGGCGCGTGACTTGCACGCCTGAGGGCCCTGAGCTGGGTCGAGGAGTGGGCCAGCACCGGGGAACCTGTGCGTCCAGAGACAGTGTGGAGATCCCCAGCGCTGGGCCCTCAGGCGTGCAGCTGTGGGCAGCCCTTGCAACTCTGCCAGCCGAGCTGACTCGTGATATAACCCATAATAAAACGAGGAGGGCAAACCTAACCAAAGACCAGATGCCGCCATTCCAGTCCATGCTGGAGGGGCAAGAGACAGCAGCGCCTTCTCCGTTTCTAACCAGAAGTGGCCCCCAGAGCCACTGTCCCACTGCACCAGCCGAGCATCGTCCTGACTGTGGCCATACGGCAGCGCCTCTAATTTATAAACCACACTTCTCCTAGGTGCAGGCATGTAGGGAAGCAGAGCCGTGCAGGGCTCGGGCCACCAGGGCTTCGGGCGCCTGCTGCTGTCCGTGCTCTGGACTCAGGCGGGACCTCGGTGTGTGTCCTGAGCCAGGCCCCGCATGTGCTTGTGGACAACATATGGAAGGTGTCACCGTGCCTGAGCCTTGCTCCCGCCAGTGCCACACCTCCTGGCGGCTCACCGTAGGGTTCAGGAGGTGGAGGTGGCCCCGCAGAGGAAAATGAGGATGGGGAAGCCGCTGCCACTGCCACATAAGACAGGAAAAGGTGCGCGGTAAGAGACCAACGATAGCTAATAGCAAATAGAGCAGTTTAATAGCGCCTCATGGTGAAAGTCATGCAGAACGCATCAATTCTAGAATTTTCCATTTAGTATTTTCAGGTCACAGTTGACCTCAGTAACTGGGGGACAGAAACTGCCCTCCCAAGAGACTCCCAGGGACATAGAGCCAGCAGGCCAGGTCGTCCCCGTGGGCACTGACCACGAGAAGCTGGAGAAGGCAGGGGTCCTGGGCTGGCCACAGTCAGCTGATCCAGGTTAAATAGGTGTTGCTTACACTTTCTCTTATTTATTTATTTATTTATTTATTTATTTATTTATTTATTTGGTACGAGGTCTTGCTGTGCAGCTCAGACTCACAGTAATCCTCCTATGTCAGCCTCCCCAGCACTAGGATTACAGGCCTGCGCCACCACACCCAGTTTCGGTGGCCAACAAGGCGCAGCAGGGGTTCCAGGGCCAGCACAGCATGCAGTAGCAGGGATTGAACTTGCAAGCTTGCACTTGCCAGGCCAGCACTTAGACTGCTGAGCTAGCTCTCCAGCCCTGGGCAGTCGTTAAGAGCAGTGTCCCAAAGGACTGTCCAGGTGCCTGGAGCCACTCTGTCCATGTCCACATGCGAGGACTTGGGGAAAGTGCCCAGTTCCCACCAGATAAAGAGAGAGACATAATGGCCTCTTGGACCCAGGCACCTCAGGGGGCCTCCTCTGATGAGGCTGCTGAGAACACACAGCCTGTGGATTCAGGCCCCAGAAGGCCCAGCGAGAGCTGCAGAAGTTTTATGTTTCCTGATGGGCGGGTAATGGGAGGAACAGAGACCCTGACAAAATATCAATTGCCCTGGAAAGGTTAATTTAATTCCATTTAGAAGCATGTGGTTACCTCTGTAGACTACAGTCCATTCTTAGACTGGGCTCCAGGGTTTAATGTTATTTAAAAAATAATTCAGGTCATAATGTAGTTGCTGCAGGTTTAACGTGGTATTTCATACACGTTAACGCATCGCCGGGCAAGCACGGGCCACATAAAACAAAGCAGCAGCATTAAGCTTATACAAAGGCACTAAAGGGCACTTACCTCTCCGCCTTCTCGGAAGGTGTGGTGTCGCAGGTGATCTCTGGTGAGCTCACTGGCAGCGAAGGCCCCAGCTCGCTAATCTCAGGATGCTCCTCGTCCTACTCCTAGGCTCTTTAGAGACACAGCCATGCTCCACAGCGTGGTGCGGCCCGCCACGGGCCACATACACTGCTGTGGGCCCATCAAATTTTAATGGAGCAAAAATTTTTCTAAACATCATAGTTGTCATGGGGTCACAGTGTGACACATGTCTCATCTTTGCAATGAAGCTGGGGACAACACACCTACTTCCCTGCCAGTCAAAGGCAAGGTGAACTCCACGATTTCGTGCCAGCCATGGTACCTGATAATAAAAGGCTGTGCTGCTGTTTCCCCACTCACTGTATTATACTTGTATTACTGTTTTAGAATGACCTCCTTATTAAAAAGAAAAGGTTGGCTATAAAGTCGCAGTTCATCCCTTATGTCTTCTCTCAGTCACCCTGGGACCTCTCAGACCACCCAGGCTTGTGTAGGACACTATGACGTTCACACGATGATGCAGTTCCCACACTGCATCCAGCAGCACTGTCATCAGCTGACTAAGGAGTGCATTTACTGCTTCACTGTTCAGAAAATGCTCCCAGGAGTCGGATACAGCTGTTTCTGCTGAGGGCAGTGACCTGGCAGGAGGCCTGGGGAGCGGAGAATGTCAGGGGATGGACAGCTGAATCCTAGCTGTTGTGGCTTACACACAGACCCGAACCTCTATGCCTAAAAATGGGAAGACCATTCGTGGTCTTCCTCTGCTGGAAGAGGGGTTTTCCCTCTGCCTTCAACTCTGAGTGACAGTGCAAGACTAAGCAATTGTTTAAGTAAATTCCTCCAACCCTATTTTAAGCAACATATTCCTTCTTCAAACTATGAGGAATGAGGTTTGTGACAGATGCAACAAGAGAGGAGAGCTGTGGTTGGGCCTTCCTGGGGTGGAAGTGGCCCTAGGAAGTAGCAGTGTGGGGCTCCCTGGTGATATTTCAGGGTACACACTCCAGGAGAGCAGGAGGCTCTCTCCAAGACAGCAACATTCACCCCAGACAGCTGTGACACACTGGTTCGAGGATCCCCAACATCCGCTGATACTCAAGGCCTAGTATCAGACGGCATTGTGCTTGCCTAGAAGCTGCCCATGGTCCTGTGCGCTTGAGTCACTGCTAGGTGGTGTGTTAGGCCTGATACCATGCAACGCCACATAGATGGCTGTCACACATCACTGTTAGGGAATCGTGATGAGATAAAGCCTGTGTGTGCTCAGTACAGATGCCATTTTTTCCCAGGTATTTCATTCCCTGCTTGGTGAAATCTAGAGCACAAATCCTATAGATGCAGAGGGCAGACTCTATAAGCCGCAAGCCCTAAAGCTTTCCTTGGTAGATATAGGCTGTCCATCTCCACGGACACATTTTTTATTTCTAACATATTTCCCCATAGACACTGCCAGGGACCTGACATTATCAGGGCAGGGTTATCAGCAGCGGCCAGCAGTGGTGGAACCACAGCTAGCCAAGCTCCAGGGAGCTGCTGCCGCTGGTCTCCCACTAGTGAGCTGCTCAGAATCCTGTCCAGACACAGGCAGCCTCTGCTATCCCCGTGGCCTCTGGTCTGAAACAGCTGCCTGACCCTGACAGTGCTGAGGACCTGTGAAGGCTCCGTGTCCTCTCCGCAACTCCACAGGGACACACACAGCTGCCCTCCACAGGCACAGAAGGCCAACGCGGGGGTGCTGCAGCTCAGGGTGTGCCGTAGGCTGCGCCCAGAGGCTGAGGCCTTTGCCTGTTCAGAGCATCCGAGTCAACTGTCCCATGCACTCCCACACAGCCGCCAGCTCCTGGCCTGGCACCGTGACGCAGCCAGGACAGCTGTGGAGGGCGTCTCTGTCTTATGGCTGTGCAGCCAGACGCATCCCTCTGAGGGAAGCATCTTGCTTAGCTCCAGTGTGCTTTGCTTTGTGCTATCAGTGCTGGGGAGGAACCTGGGGCCTCCTGTGGGCCAGACACCTGTTCTGTCACTGAGCTACACACCTGGCCCCAGCCCCAAACACTCCGGGCTACTGGTGATAACACATACTTGTGCATGTGTACACTTTGGTGTGTGTACGCACACATATATGCACACATACACACATATCCATGTATTTATTTGCCTCTCAAAGATCCAAGTGTTTCAAAGGTGAACAAAAGTAGCCCTGGTTGGGCCTGCACCCACACGTGGCCTGCTGCTCTCTGAGCCCAGGTGGCCCACATGTGTGGGTTCCGCTGTCCGCCCCTTCTGCCCAGGGCCGGATACCTGTGTGCATTACTGGGGCACCATGATCTGAGACCATGGGTTTATCTGTGCATAGGCTGCCTGGCTCTGTAATGAGGTGTGTGGTGGAAGCTCACACCACGTGTGTGTGCTCTGGGGCCCAGCCAGGCTCCTTGGGAAACTGAAGGGAGTCTTGAGTCCCGGCGGCCTCGGCCCTCACCCTGCATCGAGGGAAAGCAAGGCTTTTTCCGCACCACCCAGCCTCACGCTCTGTCTCTTGCAGAGCTAGAGAAGGAGCTGTCCCGGAGGCCCAAGAAGGTGTGCATCGTGAAGGTGGTGGGGACCCGGAACTTGTGGAAGAACATCGTGGTCCTGTGTGTGAACTCGTGAGTCCCGGGACACCATCACCAAGCTGCGGCCTCCTCCCCACCCAAGCTGGATGTTCTCCGGCTTGCTGGCTGGCTGGGAAAGGAAACAGGGAATGTGGCACTGCCTATGGTAGTCACCTGTCCGTGGGCAGAAGGGAACATGGCTTGAAGAGGTCCACTGCCAGGAAGCCTTGTGTCCCGAGCAGGACTGGGGCTCCCCAGACGCCTTGGGAAGGACAAAGGCAGCATCTGCGCTCTCTCCCTGTGGCCCAACCTGGTCCGAGGTCTCCACACAGGGGCAGCTGCAGAGTGGGCGGTCCCCGGACCCCGAGCACATGCCCAGATGCCCCCCCTTGCTGCTCATGCCCACCTCCTGCACTCACGCTTTCTTGGCAGTGCCTATCCCAGGCCTCATGTGACCCTGGAAGGTCCGTCCTGTCTCTCCTCACAGATCAGTGACAATGCCTTCCTGGCTGCACGAGGCAGACCCTCTTTCAAGGTCAGCATCATCTGGGGTGGTTAGCTTTCAGGGGACAGAGGTCCTCTAAGGGAAAGGCTACGCGCTTGCTTGTGGAAGGTCTCAGAACCACCTTCAGGTAGAGAGAGGCCTAGGGTCAGGACCTCTGCTCCCTCTCAGCTCTTTTCATCAGTCTCCATTTTAACCAGTTCTTGCCATTGGGTCTCCGGATTAAATTCATTTGCGTTGGATATGAAAGGTCTCACTGCCAAACAACACGAGAGCAAAGACCCAGTCACCTCCTGGTCTCTCCACCCTGTGCTGAGGCCAGGCCAGTCCTCAGGTCCCGCCTCCCTGCCCAGCATGGCCCTGGGCATGGTCAGCCAGCTGCTGGCCAGTCTCAGGAGGTTGCTGGCCTGACTGGTGGTGCCATCAGGAATGGAATGACTTCTCCAACTTTGAGTAAAAAAAACCCTAGCATTGACACTTCCTTCTAGTGACCCTGAGAGAGGAGAGGGAACGAGGGAATCAATCTCCCTCGCTTTGTTATCATAAAATTACCTGCTATGGTCAGAGTACTTCATCTCTCCCAGAATAAAAAGGTAGACAATCCTGAGAGCTCAGCAGGCCAGGAAGAAAAGAAATTCGTGCAGGATCCCAGAAAACTAACCAAGTTGGCTCCATTGCTGGGATAAAATGCTGCTTAGAGGAGCTGGGTCCTCCTGAAGGCTCTGCCTGGGGTTTCTCATGGCAGGGGCAGGGGCTGCTGCAGTTGACCTTGATTCATGCTCAAGGTCGGATGAAAAGCCCTTGGATCTCTGCACAGCACAAGAGGATGTTTGGGAGATGGAGGCACTTTGAGCTCTGGTTGGACGCTGAGGGCTGGTGGTGAATGGGCTCTGGGGTGGGGCATGGGCAGGCCACAGCCAGCACATCCCAGAGGGTCTGGCAGAGCCCTGCATCACCTGCCACCCTGGCGTGCTCTGCCTCATCTCCGTTCCTGTTTTCAGCGTAGCTGTGTACATGGCACCTACAACTCTGGTCTCCCCCCAGGGTGACACTGAGGGCAGGAAAGGGCCAGACGGAAGCTGTGAGAGGGCTCAGGGATAAAGCAGGAGGCGAAACCTCTGTGTAAGCCACGTGTCTTCCTTTGGCCTGACTGCTGTCGCCTTGTCCCAGCTGCCCTGGTTGAGCAGCAGCAGATAGGGGTGGAAGAAGGCGCTCTCTGGATGGAGCCCCAGGTCTCCAGAACACTGAGTGCCCCAAAAGGAGGCAGGGGTCTCAGAGGCTGCCCTGCCCTGCAGGGAACCACCTGCTGCTTGTTTGCCAGTCTGGGAAGCAGGCACAGGGCGGTTCCCGCTGTGCTGCCCTGGCACTGAGTGCGTGCACAGAAAGGGCTATGCAGGGCACCCTGGCTCCAGGAAGGAGAGCGCATGGACTGCTCTCAGGTCCCCTTCTGTGTCAGAGGCAGCGTGCTGCCCCCTCCCACACTGGTCACCAGAGGAGATGGGGTGGCCCTGGGATCCATGCACGACACCCACTGTCTCACTCTGTGTCCCCCACAGGCTGACGGGGTTCGGGATCCACCACTGCTTTGCAAGGAGCATGATGGGCCACGAGGTGAAGGTGCCACTGCTGGAGAACTTCTATGCTGACTACTACACCATGGCCAGCATCGCCCTGGCCTCCTGCCTGGCCATGTGCGTGGTGGTCAGGTTCCTGGGGCGCCGGGGGGGCCTGCTGCTCTTCATGATCCTCACCGCCCTGGCTTCCCTGCTGCAGCTTGGGCTCCTGAACCGTGAGTGGCCAGACAGGGGACCGGGGTGGCGGGCGTGCAGGGGGGTTGGGTGCTGGCAACACTGAAGGTTTAGAGGTGCATTGGCTTTCTGTTATGGTAACAAAATACCAGGGGTGATTGACTTAACAAGAGAAAAGTTTGCGTTAAAAAAAAAAAGAGGGAAGGTGTGCTCTGACTCACAGTGTCAGAGGGTCGGCCCGCGGCCAGCTGGCCACCACTTCTGAGCTTGTGGGTGAAGCACAGGGCAGAGGAAGGTGCTCGCCACATAGTGACTGAGATGCAAAGACAGTGAAGAGGAGGGGCCAGCGCCCCACAGTCCCCTTTAAGGGCACCCCCACTGGCCTAACTTCTTCCCATGAGGCCTCAGCTTTTAAAGATTCCACCACCTCCCAATAACTAGAGACCTGTTCTTTAATACATGGGCCTTACATGGACATCCAAGATCTGAACTACAGCAGCAGGGCAGAGAAGCAAGCCCTGGAACCTGAGCAGGAATTGCAAAATCAAAATTCACAGGTTGGGGCTGGGGAGATGGCTCAGTGGCTTACGCACCTGCCCGGCAAGTGCAAGGTCCTAAGTTTGATCCCAATTTTAAAAAAAGATCACAGGCTGAAGAAATAGCTTTGGCAGAGAGGCTTAAACTAGCATCTCGGGGCTCTGCCATGAAGGTCTCCCCCCGACCGGTGGCCCTGCTGGGAGCAGCCCCACTGTACAGCGACTCAGCACCCCATGCCTGCAGGTCCTGGTGGATGTGACCTCACTGACACAGGCGTTTCACAGGACCCATCACATGACAATGGATATGTTTCTTTTATGTGACTTTAGATAGACTATGAAACTCTTTTAACATCTTGCATAGGGTCCTGACTTCCCATTGATTTTCCCAAATTTTTGAGCTTCTCCATGAACCCAAGAATTTCTCAATAAATTTAGAAATAATCTAACACAAAGCTAAAGAATATTCAGGGTAGCTGCTCATGAAATATGCCAGCTTCTGTGTGTGGAGGCGGCGCTTGCCCTCCCCAGCTGACCGACCACTGGGCACCTCCTCATGCCCTGGACGCTGGGGCACTCTGTACCATGAATACCCCCTTTGATACAAGTGGAGCAAGCCCCAGCTGCCCTTTGTGCCCACACCAGAGCAGCCTTGTGCAGCCCAACGACAGACGAGCTATTTTCAAGCTCAAGAGCCATTTTCCAACTTGGGCAAATTCCTGTGTGTCCTGTGCCTGCTGGGAAGCTGACCTCATTGGTAGCTGGACCCCGCCGTGAAAAGGGACAGCCACGGTATCTCAATTCCTGCGCAGCCAACTGTCCCTCCAGGGAGCCGCTGCCCAGCTCACATGGTTGGGACAGATGTGACAGGGAGCTCCCAGCCCCCAGAGTGCCACAGAGTGCTTCCTGCCCCAGAGCAGGAAGCCCACAGGAATTCTGGGCAGAATGCAGGGAGCCTGAGGAGCAGAGGGGCTGCAGCGTCTACCCAGTCTCTGAGGCCAGCGGGGCTTTCGCCCTCCTTCTTAACCACAAGTTCTTTGTTCAGTCCAGTGTAAATGCCAGGACTCAGGCCGCTGGCACCAACCCAGAACTCTGGGCACTTGCTTGGCAACAAGTCATGTGGGCACATGCTGCCCACACCCACACCTAACTCGCCTTCTCCTTCTCTTTCTTCTCTTGTTATCCTTGCGGCCATGGGCGCACCGTTCCCACTGCCCAGTGATTGGAAAATACAGCCAGCACCCAGACTCAGGTGAGTCCCCGACGCCTGAGCCCGCACGGCCTCGCCTTCTCTGTGGCCTCCCGGGAGTTTTCAGAAAGAATCACTGACTGCTTTCCATCTCCTCTCTCCTCCCCTCTTTGCCCTCCAAGAATTGCAGCTGAAGTTGGCCGTAGGTTGGACACTATAAGCGTACATTTGTCTCCTCCACCCCTCTTGCTGCTAGAGAGCGATTCCTGCGGCCCCCTCTGTGCAGCTTAGTGCGCATGCCCTCCCTGTTCCCGTCCTCGGTGCAGCGCCCGTGCAGTGAGCCCAGGGGGATCAGGAGCCCAGGAGTGCTGGGCCTGCCTGGCTGTGCTACTGGGGGAGCACTTGTCCCCTTCAAACTCTCAAAAGCTTGCTGCTGCTGGCTCGGATAGCAGACCCACCAGGCTGCACCTCCCTCCGCTGCTGCCGCCGCTGCTGCTGCACAAGCCTGGCCCCACCCAAGCTGTGCCCCTCCCACACACACACACTGCCTGGATCCTCAGCCAGGCCCAGGTGTGTGGTCCCCAAGTGCATGCGCTGCGCTGGACACCACCCATGTGCCAAGGTTCCAGTGCTAGTGTTGGACACCAGGACTGCTGAGCACTTTCCTGCGAGGCCTGTGCAATATTCTGTTTCGGTTATTTGAATTTTTGGCTCAGATGCCCTGCATCTGGCAAGGAGAGCCTGAGGCTGAGGTGGCTGCAGCCCCCTGGCTGCAAGTGCACAGCACGGAGAGGTCGCTGTGCCTTCCTCGGCACCGCTACTCAGCAAGCTGATGGGAGGCAGGCTGCTTGGTGCACATGGGACTCACAGGCACGGGGAGCCAGGCACAGTCCTCGGGCAGAGGGCCCTGGCGCCTTGACCCTGAGGCAGCTGTGCACACCCCGTAGTCCACAGAGCTGGAGGCGGGACCGCCCGGGTTCCCTCCCCTTACCCCTTCTCTCCTGCTCCCAGGGATGAGTGACAGTGTGAAGGACAAGTTCTCCATCTCCTTCTCCATCGTGGGCATGTTCGCCTCCCATGCAGTCGGAAGCCTCAGCGTGTTCTTCTGTGCAGAGATCACCCCTACAGTGATAAGGTGGGTGATGGGGTAACTGCAGGAGCCCCTGCTGGCTGCTGAGCTGGGCCTGGACAGGTGGCCCCCGGCAGTGGCCAGGTGTGCCCTGAGCCAGGCTCCCAGGGGAGCAGGGAGCTCCTCAGGGTGCAGGGAACAAACCTAGCAGTGACTAGAAAGGAGCAGGGTCTACTTCAACTGAGATCAGAGCTCCCATCCCTCCTCAGAGGCCTCAGTTAGAAAGCAACTTCAAAGGAAAAAAGGAAGTAGGCATCTGGGATTGTAGCTTCGCAGAGGCTGGGGCAGGAGGATCACAAGTTCAAGGTCAGATTGAGCATCACAGTGAGGACCCCCCATCTCAAAAATACTAAGAAAGTAGAAAGGACCTGTTATTTATTGGCCTGAGAAGTTGGGGTCACTAATCCAAAGGAGGGTCTCAGAGAGGCCCAGCGAGTTGTGTCCCTGAGAAGATTCCCTGAGAGCCTCTAGGAGCCCTGCCTTCCTGAAGGCTTCCATCATGTGCTCAGCAGCTTTCAATTCCTAGCAGGCCCAGGCCCTCCCGAGCGTGCCTGTGTGTTTAACTCGATGATGATGATGGGAATGGGATCGTAGCAGAAGTTCCCTAAGAGTGCATTTAGCACCTACTGTCGCCGTGCTGGTTCCCTGATGCAGCTGAACAGTCCTTACCTGGAAAACATGCAATTGAACATGTTCCAAGATCCAAAACATTTTTTTCCACAAGTCTGCATCATGAAACTTTCTTACATGAACAAAATTATTTTAAAAATGACCTTTGGAGCATGAACATAACTGTAGATAAAAATTAATTTTGTGTTTAGACTTGGGTCCCATCCCAAGATAGCTCATTATGTATGTGCATGAATTTGCACAGCTGAAAAATATCCCAGATCCAAACACTCCTGATCCCAGATATGTTGGAAAAACAGCCTTATCATGGGTTTGCTGTGGGCATCTCGCTGAGAGGCGTGAGCTGACAGAGAGCTCGCTGGGATTTCCTGGGAATACTGCTAGTACTGCGGGTGGGTATGCCGCTTCAGGATGGTGTCCTGCAGCCAGGGGTGAAGCCCAGAAGTCAGGCAATGAGGATGACACCCTTAGAAGAGCAGGTAGAGTGCGGGGGTCCCAGGTAGGACCCAGACACGTGGCGCCCCCTCGGGGCACTCCCAATGGTTCCTGGACTTGCGTCCTTCCCACACTTCCCAGAGTCAGGCTGACCTCGGGCTTTGCACAGGACCTCATTTGAATTTGTTCTCTTGCATTTTTGCAATGCAAGTCAGGCCCGATGGCTGCTCCATTCCCCAAAAAATATGAGGAGGTATTGTAAGCTTAAGAAAAAAAAAACAATTCAGGGCTCAGGAATCTGTCCTGGTCCTGCCTTCTGGGGCCACTGTACAGGGGCAGCTGGACCTCATCAGGGGCCTGCAGCATGTAGGCACTCAGCAACTCCCTCTGTCTCCTTTACCTGGAAAACATCTTCCTTTATCAGACAGCCTGCCTCTCAGTAAGGCCACAGTTGGACATCTCGGGCTTTTCACTGTCCCCCGCGGCCAGCGCGCCTGCAGTGCCCCTGGAGGTGGCATCACTTACCCCTGGAGTTGGCTCTTCACCCCATCAGACTTCTCAGTAAAGTAGAAGGCAGGAAACCAAACATCTTCTTCCTCCTTGAAGCAGACCTGGAAAGATTATTTCACTATAAGAATTCAGCCAGTGTGTCCTGAGATTTAGCTCCCAAGATGACCAACTAGAAAAGCTGTCTCACCCAGACTGGAAGGGCGCTGAGTCTGGAGCCCCCACCAGGCTGGAAGGCATCCGTGTACCTGCCAAACCTCACTTCTCACACACAGCCTGCAGGGGTCCTGGGGTACACCTGTGCTTCCCCTCATTCTGCACGATGAGGCCTCGGGCAGTGCAAGCACACAGCTGGGGCTCCTGGGCTCGCCATAAGGCAGAGCCTGCCTTTTCCTCAGTGTTGTATTAACAACAAACCAAACAAGAAGAGTAGCAGAGGTTAAGATTCCAGAGGGCAGAGGGCTGGGCAAGTAGCTTAGTGTAGAGCCTCACGCAGCATGTGCAAGGCCCTGGCTTCCATCCTCGTTCTGAACAACAACAAAGCAAGTTCCCAGTTCTCCTAGGTGGGGGTGGTGGCTCACACTGCAGTCCCCTTTCCTCACATCTGTGCAGACTAAAGGACCTGCCTTAAGCCAGGCTCGGTGTCTGCCTTCGCCTGCGGCCTGTGCATACCGTGCAGTTAGGAATCTGCACAGTTGCTTTCAAGGTGTGTGCCTGAGACAGAAATGAACAAGGCCCGGGCTGGAGACACCGGAGGCTGGAGGAGCACCAGCCGCTGTCATGTGTGCCTCCAGGCGACACTGACAACGCCTCCGTTGGGTGGTGAGGAGTAGAGGAGGGGCGGGGACAGGCATCCCAGGGATCCTGCTTTCGTACCTGCAGATCCGACTGCACACAGATGGAAACACTAGTAGGGGATAAAGGCACTTGCTCTGGACGCGCAGAGACCTTCGGATCTTGGTTTCCTAAATAACGCGGTCTAACAGCTATTCACACGCAGAGCAGTTACTGGCTCTGCATTGTAAGCGATCTGGAGATTTACAGTCTGCCACGCAAGGCAGGGGGGGGCTGGTAAATCCCGCGTGATCTTATACGTGGGACTTGAGCACTGAAGCTCCTGATATTCAGCGGGTCCCGGGCCACACCAGTGTCCCCGAGGGGGAGCATACGTAGCAGGTCCTGGCATCAGGGAAGGACAGCAGCTGCCTGGATACCTGGGCAGTGCATCTCGCTAACAGCTATTCCAGATGTGCTCATCCTTGACTTCGCAAACATGTGGCAAAGACAAGAAATATGACAGACAGCAAAAAAATGAGAGCTTTGTTTCTTAACTTAAAATGCCAGTGGTGATTGATGCTCAAGTGTTTAACAACTCTGAAGATTGTGCCCATCTTAACACCAGCTTGCTTCCCGTCTGCCTGTATATCGCCTTTCTGTCCTTAAAGTTGTCCAGATGTTATTACCAGCAAAATACAGACACTTGGTGCAGTCAGATTGCTGTGCTGCAGGAGCACAGGGATTAGGCCTTGCCGGCACGCCTAGCTCTAACGCTGTCCTGCAGGTGTCTCTCCTGGGGAAACACGGGCGCGGGCTGCCCTCTAGTGGCGACCTGCGGAAAATGCCTAGCCCCCGACGCCTATCGGAGAAGGCGGCTCTTAACCCTACACCTTAAAAACAAATGTTTCAGAGCCCACGAGTGATCTCATCAGAGAAAGATCAAGCCGGAAATGGTATACCCACGTTCATCAGGAGTGTCCTGTTATGCCAGGATTGCAAGGAATTCCCCTTTTTTACATACTGGAGATTGAGCCCAAGGCCTTTGTGCTGAGCTGCACCCCAGCCCTAGCCTTTTTTTTTTTTTTTTTTTTTAATCTTAAGACAAAGTCTAAATTGCCAGGGCTGGGCTCATATTTGCAATCCTCCTGCCTCAGCCTCCTTGAGTACTGGGATTACAGGTGCCACCGTGCCCAGCTTCACGGACTCTTCGAAAGAAAACCAAACAAAAACGTAAATGAGCACGTAGGTAGATGATAAGTACATAGACAGACAGACACACAGACAGATGGTATGTCTCCGCCAGCTCCGCACAGACATACACCTTGTGGCATCTGAGGCAGTGTGTCAGCAGTGGGAACTGCTCAGCCCCATCACAACCCGTGGATCCAGTGGCGTGTGGGTCACCATGAGACGCCGGTACGCCTCTGTGACTGTCTTCCCTAATATGTGCTCATAAATGCACAGCCAGTGCCACAGGCACACACAGCACTTTAAATGAGCCACAGGCAAGCACCTCGCCTGCCAGGCCGTATTAACATACACTTCTGGGCACTGTGGCAGGGACCTGCAGCAGCAGCAGCTGAGCGCCATGCAGCCTCTCGGGTCTGCATCCTGCCTTCCGGTGCAGCAGGGGTCCACACTCAGGGCCGGTGCGCACCAGGGAGCATCAGAGAAAATGGTGCCATGCTGGTCTCAAAGGGCCAACCACACATACTTGTGATCCTGGCATCCTGTCCCCACCACCCTGCGGCTTCCTGATGGGGCCCAATTTATCAGAAGCAGAGAGAGGCTGTTCTAGGTGTGTGTTGTACTCACCCAAAATATGGATGTGACCTCGGTGCTCTCGCTCGTGGCCATCTATTTTTAACCTGTCCCACTCAGTGATGTGGCCAGAACTTCCTCCCTAGGAAGCCAGTGTGAACCGAGGCACCTGATATTTATTAAGTCCAGTGGGCACCAGTTGGTGCTCAAGAAAATAAGCCAAGCCCTTGAAGGGTGCATGTGCAAGGACCTAAGGCGTGCTAGCAAGTAGTAACAGGAAGAGGCACAAAGCCCTGGGTCTTCTGTCTGTAAGTGGCCTCGGCATCTAGGAGACACCCCCAAAAGCACTGCACCTTCTTATTTGCACCTTCAGTGTGCTGACAACTCACTGGTGTGACTTCTATACAGTGTCTGTGGGTTGTGGCAGCACAGCCCAGCTGGGTCCCCTGCTCAAGGTGGGGGACAGGATATGCCCCTGACTCAACAGCGGTTGTCAGGACCTAGTTATTCAAGGGATGTGGACAGAGGGGCTCAGCTCCTTGAAGGCTTCAGCCAGGGCCACCCCTGTGCTCGCCACTTGGGCCTCCACAATGTGGCCACTTGTTGGTAGCGGCCAGCAGGTTACTCCAACACCACTCCGCCGTGAGCTAGTCATGGAGGGGCTGTCTCCCTGCCTGCACTGCGCTAGATTGTTAGGAGGTAACTGACTGTCCCTTAAAGTCAAGCCCAGCCCACACTCAAGGCAAACAGTGGACACTGGGAGGGAGGAAGCAGTCGCAGGAGCCATCTGGGCGACCTGACACACTGTAGTGATGCTTGGGGTCAGGCTGTGGCTGGCTCGATGCTGGGGACAGGGGCTGAGCAGCTCTGGTCTTGCCTTTAAGAGCCTCTGAAATTGGTCAGAGACATAGGCACTGTGTGTCCTGAGAGTGCTAGGGGAGTAGCGGCGAGCATGAACCCCAAAGCTGGCACCAACAGAGACTTGGAAGCCATCTAGAGCCTGACCCCCCACAGGGGCCACCTCCCCCATGCAACCAGTGTGAACCAAGCAGGTAGGTGGGAGTCGGGCAGACCCTGCCCTCAGTGCCACTGAGAAGACCCAGTGCACAGGAGCCAGGCTGCTAAATACTGTGACAAGCACAGCAGGACACAAACCCTGGCCTGAGCACCCCCAATGGCTGGGAAGCAGGTGGTGTAGACAGTCTTGGGTGTGTGGGAAGAAAAAAGAGTCCTCGATGCTGCCTGGAGGGGACACGAGACCCCGTCCCAGCAGGGCGCAGCCTATGCAGCTTGAGCGTGGGGACTGCATTCAAGGCATTGTGAGCTACAGCGACACAGCTTCATGCGTCCACTGACAGCCTACACTTCAGTGATGGCGTGCATCAATAGTACAGGGGCATCCATGGCCACAACCCTTCAGTGACATTTTATTGCCCCCAAAAGCCCTTCATGCCCATCTGCATTCAGTGGTGCCCCGCTGCCCTCACTCGCAGCCCCGGGCGGCCACTCACCTGGTTCCCGTCCCTGTGGATCTGTCCCCTCTGATATTTCATATAAATGGAAGCAGTCCCTCGGTGTGTGTGTACAAGTCACCTGTGGCACAGTGAGTGTCCACTCCTCCTTCCAGCTGAGGACGGCCGCTCTACCGGATGGCCACGTTTGCTTTATCGTGCACCACTGGGCTGTGCAGGGCACACCTAGTAGGAATAATGCTGCCATGAGCTTCTGCTTGTCAGTTTTTTGGGTGTTTTCCATTTTTCACATGTGGAATTGCTGGTTACATAAAAATTTATGTTTAGCCTTTAAGAAAAGGCTGCGCTGCTTTCTAGAGAGGTTGTCGGCCCTACAAGTACACCAGGCCTGTGCGACGGCCTGGTTTCTCCACGTCCTGCCCAGTGCACTATTTGTTCTCTTTCGTTATAGCTCTCCTGGAAGGTGGGCAGTGGTGTGGTGGTGTAGCTTTGATTTGCATTTTTCTGGTGACAAATAATGTGCTTCTTTCTATGTCTGGCTGGACATCTGTGGCTTGTAGTTTCTTTGGGAAATTTTTCTGCTGAAATCTCTTGCCCACTTTTAAAATTAGGCTGTCCTCTTTTTTATTCAGAGTTCATTATGTATTCTGGAAACACTATTCATCAGTTACTTGCTTTGCAAATATTTTCTCCCAGTCCAGGACCTGGAGCATGTGTCCCTTGACATTTTTAATTTTGATGAAGTCTACCCAGTGAGCTTTCTTTCATGGATTCTGCATCTGTGGTCACAGCTCAGAGCTCTGCCTGACGCGGGGCCACACAGATGTCCCTCTGTGCTTTCCTGTAGAAGTGCTCTCATGTGCAGGTTCTATGATTTGTCATGGGTTTTCTTTTTTATATGATGTGAGCTAACGCTTCAGCTTCGTTCTTTTGCATGCGGCTGCCACACTACGCGGCACTGCTTACTGAAAGGACTGGCCTTTCCTGCTGAATTTGCTTTTGGCAAGAGTCAGCAAGAAGCAGAAGGCTTGTTTCCGAACCCCGACTCCGTGCTGTTGACCTGCCTCTCAATACAGCAGCGCAGTGTTGCCCTAATTTACGCGGCTCCAGAGTAAGTTTTGAACTAGGAAGGTAACTCTTCCAACTTCGTTCTTTTCCAAAATTGTTTTCGGCCACTCGAGATCCCCTGCATTTCCACACAGATTTTAGGATGAAATCAAATTCTTAAAAGAAGAGGAAGGGGAGGAGGAAGTCAGCGGGGATCCTGACAGGGGCTGCGTGACTCTGTGGATCAGCTAGGAAGAAATGCCATTTCCGGTGTGGCGCCTCCCGGCGCACGACCATGGCTGCCTCTCATTTACTTTGGTCTCTCCAGTTTTCTCAGTAGCGCTTTGCTGTTTTCCCCACGCAAGCCTTGCTTACCTTTTATTATTTATTTCTAAGCACTCTGATTCCATTTTCAGGTAGTTTGTAGCTAGCATTTGGACCCTCAGGCAGTGTGCTGGCTTCTGGTGTCAGTCTTCTGACAGTGGTTTTGTGAGAGAAGAGCCACTACTGCGCCAACCAGGAGAACTGCAGACCAGTGAGTCCTGGCTGGAATTCCACACGACGTTCCTGCCCACTGCAGGGACCTCCCCTCAGCGCTTTTGCCTCAGAAGTCCAGGGACAGAGGTCCCTTCACTCAAAGTGAAGCAGCTCTGTTTAAGAAGTTCTTACATAAACTAACTGAAGTTCCCACCCCTGAACACCGTTCCAGTCCTGGACACACAATTCTTCCTCCACGCTTGGAGGCCAGAGCACTGTCACCTGCCCCCTTAGCCCCAGCAAAGCTCATGCTGCCCTGCCTGGCCTCTGAGCACCCCATGCCCACCACAGCCCAGAAATGCACTGCTCTTCAGTGCGCACAAAACCCCCGAGCCCCGCTGGGACCCGGACGGCACTGTGCATCTGCGCAGCCTGCCGAAACCCTTCCTGGGCTCCCTCCTGGCACAGCAGCAGAGGTGGGTGGCTGCTGTCGGGTCGGGCCTCCGTGCCGTCAGGCCCACCGTGCAGCAAGCATCTCTCTCCTTTCTGGGCCATTCTGACGTCATCCTCTCAGCGGGCCAGGCTGCGCTGGGGGCGCACGTGGCGACTGTAGGGAATGCGCCAGACGACTCATCAAAGGGAAACTATTGTCCTTAAAGCACAGACATTGGCTTGGCATTTAGCTCAGTGGTACAGCACCTGCCTGGCCAGCATGACAGCCTGAATTCGATTCCTGGTTCCAAAAATTATAAAGTACAGATTTTCTTCAGTATCTCCGATTATGAAGAAGAGGAAGTCTCTTCTGGGGTCCTCTATCTTTTGTGTCCTAACTCTCAGTCATCCTCCATTCCCTACTGTAAAGCCTGGCGGTCATAGCACGATTTAATAACATTGGGCTTTGTTGTGTTTATCATTTATGGCAAATATATCTGTTTGGGCTTTTTGTCATTCCATTTATAGTAGGATAGTAGGGCTCCAAAGTAAATTATTAACGTTTCAGAGTTGATAAAGAAAAGCAGTTGTTGAACTAAAAAGGGTCCACAGACACCCTGCGAAGGTCGTTCAGGGCATCCCGCCCGCGGGGGTGGCAGGCAGGGCAGTGCTAGCTTCCCTGGCTTCTTAGTCTGGTCACTTCTGCTTCATTCTGCTCCTGGGAAGGCTTCTCCGTGCAGCCCCTTCTGCACCCTGGGCCACCGCGCCAGCAGCAGGGCCTCTGCTAACCCTGGCGCTCTGCCTCCCTGCAGGTGCGGCGGGCTGGGGCTGGTGCTGGCCAGCGCGGGCTTCGGCATGCTCACGGCGCCCATCATTGAGCTGCACAACCAGAAAGGCTACTTCCTGCACCACATCATTTTTGCCTGCTGCACGCTCCTCTGCATCATCTGCATCCTCCTGCTGCCCGAGAGCAGGGACCAGAACCTGCCCGAGAACATCTCCAACGGGGAGCACTACACCCGGCAGCCACTGCTGCCACACAGGAAGGGGGAGCAGCCCCTGCTGCTCACCAACGCAGAGCTCAAGGACTACTCCGGCCTGCACGACGCGGCCGCTGCCAGCGACGGGCTGCCTGAGGGCGCCACAGCCAACGGCATGAAGTCCATGTAGCCGGCACTGCATCCTCGTGCCTTGGGGGCTCTGGGAGCCATGGGGAGTTCAGGCACAGGTGACAGACGGGGCACATGCCTGGCCAGCCAGTCGGGGAGTCCAGCTCTGCGGCAGCGGCTGCAACCGTGAGGCTTTCAGCTGTTTGTGGGAATTCTGTCTTTCCACAAGTCCAAGGCGTGGGCTGGAGGAGCAGACTCTTCGGAAGTAACCCTGCAAGACTTTCCTTTCTGCCATTAAATATTTGTATTTATTTTGGTCATTTTTACAAGAAGCACTTTATTCCCTCTCCTCTCACTAATCATGAAGTGGAACCACCACCCTGCGGTCACCCAGAGGAAGACCCTCCCTGGGGGGCTCCACGGCCACCTGTGGGCAGTGTGACACTTGAGTGGTGCCTGCCCTGGCCTGAACTCCACAACGACATACACATGAGTTCAGCCTTTGCTAGTGGCTGTGTATGGTTCTTAAAGTCCGTTCTGTTTTTCTTCCTGTGTGTGAGAGCTTCCACCCCATGTGCTGGGGGCACGGTGCTCCCCGCCACCCTCCAAACCAGCCTAAGGCCTCTTCCCTTCAGGATCATCCTCTGTACTTGACGCTGGAGCTCTGAGAGAGAGAAATGGCGGCTGCCCAGCAGTGTGGACGCAGATAACAGGTGTGTTGAGGTCTGGGCTTGCTCATTTTATTACAGCTCCTGCCCAGGTTTAGCTCCAGCAGAGTGATCCCCCTTTTCCAGTCCGCTTTGTCGCCAGCACTACTTGAAATCCATGGCTACTTTCTGAACTAAAACACTAGGAAAATAATCAGTGAAGGCAAATCTCGGGAGGGAGGCCCTGCCCCAACTGCGGCCGCCACCCACATCTCAAGCACACACCCCGACACCGCTAGCCACCTGGCTGTCGCTCACGACCGAAGGCACATGCAGGGGCTGGTGGCCCTGTGTCTCCCTCTGTCGCTCCCTGCTTGCTGCCCACTGGCCATGAAGGTGAAGCGCAGGTAGGAGTGCAGGCTCCCCCAGTGAGGCCACGAGGCCACAACAAGACGAACTGAGAGAAGCAATAACTCACCAAAGCTCACCGCCACCACTGGGCTCCCAGGTTCTCTGCACCGCATCTTGACCTGACAGGAATCTTGGAGGCTACGAGGACTCCGGCCCTGGGCTGCCGTGGAGCCAGCTTGCTCCATGTAGGCAGGCACTGCGCTGCAGCACCTCGAGCCCCACCCTCCCATCCTCACAGCTGCCCGCCTCACCCTCTGCCCACGCACCTCTGCCATGACTTCTCCCAGCCCACGCATCTAGGGCTGTGGCTGGTGATTAGGCGGCTTCCCCAGGACAGGGCCAGAGCGGTAAAGTCTATGCCCGGTGTCCTCACTGTCCCTGCCCACCTCTCCCCCACATCCGGTACAGATGTCACAGGAGTTGCTGCCACAGGCCCCAGGGTGCAGCTATGTTCCTGTCCCTGACCGTGGGGTGTCCACAGGCCCCCTCACCACCTGACAAGTGGCGGGTCCCCAAGTCACTCTCCCTCCATGTTTCCTGTTAGTCTGAATCACCTTTCCAAAGGCCTTTCTTTAGATCTGTGCAGCCTCTTCTCATGCTACACTTGGGACATTGTTTTTACCCTTTCCAGGGGGCCCGGTGACCAGCAAACCCTGCACAGGTCAGGACGAGACATTGCACAAGTTGTGAATAGGGACAGGGCTGTGGAGCCTTTGTAAAGAAAGCTGGAAGCTGCTGCAAGCTGCAGGGATCACTGGGGCTGGGGGTGCCAAGGCAGGGCCTCTTAGCTTCAGTCCCAGGGTCCCTGTCTCCACTCAGGGCCTGCACAGACAGAGCTCCCCGCTTCAGCGAGAAGGACTGAGCCATCAGTATGCAGAGGAGACATCGCCCTGAGACCCAGGCGCAGGACCAAAGCCTAGCAGAGCACAGGAGCCTGACTGTGGCCGCGCCTCCCACGCAGCCGAGCGGTCCTGCATGTCTCCACGAAGCGCGCCACAGCAGGACTGCTCTCCTGGGCTTAGAGCCCTGTGTGGATACCGAGAAGAGAGACAGCAACCCCAGGCCTGGTGTGAGCAGCCTACAGGCTCCCTGGGCTCGGGCTACCAGGCCCAGTGCCAGGGCTGTGTGTCCTGTGGCCAGAGACGCTTCTCAGGCTCTTGTCCCTCGTGTCCGGCCCGCCCTCCCCACGCCCGGCCTCCCCACCGCCTCTCCACCCGCCCTTGCACCTGTGCCTCCCCTTTTGATAAAAGTTATGCACAAATGTGAACATCTGAGACAGGACTGCGTATTTCTTCATGCTGTTCTTTTCCAGAAGTCAGTAATAATTCTTACCAAACATCCTAATTAGCATCCAAGGCAAATAGGAAAAAGAAGTCATTAAGTGTTGTTTTCTAAGACCCTAGTTGCTTCCAAGGGGAGGACAGGACTGGTACATTGGTTTGGCCACAGAAAGCAAAACCAAGCAGAAATACACGTGGTGAAGGAAGTGGTACTCACCTAACCACTTCCACCGCTGAGCACAGAGCCCTGAGCTGGAAGTGCCGTTCAGTGATGTGTGACCATTACAGTGCCCAGCTCCCAGCTCCGGGGTGGTGGTGGGGTTGGGGGGCACCCCACTTCGGCCATGTCCTTGTTTCGCAGGACACCACCTCACTTTACTGTATCATGTGTGTTGGCCAAGCAGCAGTGTGTTGTCTAGTGAGGGATGTGTCCCTACCTGTCCTTGCTGCAATCCAGCCTTGCGGGGCTGGACTCTAAGAACCACGTGACTGTCCGCGTCGCCGGGGTCCCTCTGGCGGTACTCGCTCCTAGCACAAGCTTCCACTGAGTTCTGAACTGTCGTGCACAGCTACGTGTCTGCATGGTGTCTCATCGTTGTACTCTGGGGAAATTCGTATGTAAATGTACAGAAATAAAAACGTTGCCCCATGAACACACTTCCTCTGGAATGTCTTCCCTACCTCACCTGGTGGTACCCTACAAAGGGCATTTCACTACCATTGCTGACAAGGATCAAAATCCTCCCTGTCGCTTCAGACCTCGCTGCAGCCTGCCTTCCATGCCTCTGCACGCTGCGTCTTCGCTGCCCGGGGGATGCCGGGCCTTGCCCTCTGCCCCAGTCTTAGTCTGAAAGGCAGCCAGACACGCAGGTCGCATTCAGCAGAAACTGTATGTATCTAGTGCCGCTCTCAGACCACCTGAGAACTCAGTACACTGAAGCATTTTTTCTCGTCTATGTTCTGGTAATCTGTGGCCGGAAGGCTCCTAGAGAGACCAAGAAATGAGCATCTTACACTGTGACTCTGCGAGGAAACACTGATAACCCCAAACTCTCTTCTCTAATGTAGTATTTTTTAACAAGAAAACAATATTTCTTTAATAAAGTATTTATACCAAACTCTTCTCTCCATAGCCCTGATTTTGTGTCACTTGCTATTCTATTCCCAGAGAGGCGTCCACGGTGCTTTCCCAGCCAGCCACAGTAACAAGGATGAGGTAGCAGAGGCCATGGTGGCATGTCTGCACACGCATGGCGCCGGGACCCCAGTGGACCCCTCTGCAGGGCCCAAGTCCTGACCGGCGTTTGCCCCACTCGGCTGGCTGCGCTGGGTCCATGCAAGGAACGATGACTGGGCCCTGGTAAGCTGCTTGTCGTAACAAGGGCCCAGGGGTGCCCAAGATTTGAGCACTCCTGACCAGCGGTGCCAGCCCTTCCTGCCCACAGAAGCACCAGGGACTCTGCAGCCACCCTGGATCGTGGGCTTCCTGCAAATGGTAGGCAGAAAAGGGCTGAGGCACAAAAATGACCAGAGGCAGATACCTGGTCATGGGAAAGAAGAGAAGACAGGAGGGAAAAAGAGAAGACAATAACAGGAAAAGCAAGAGGGCCGGAGGCAGCTGAATCCATAAAAAGGCCTAAGACTACAAGTCAAACGTAAATTCCAGGGCAAAGCGTTTCTATGTATTAATCCCAACAGAAATTAGTCCCATTTTGGAGATGAGAAAATAGAGCCCAAAGAAGCTAGAAACCTGACTACACAGCTAGCAATCAGTCAAGGGGGTCACCAGCGGGGCACAAGAAAGCAAAGGAAGTGAGTACCCTGAGGAAGAGTTTAGCAAGAGCACACTAAGGAAAGAAGAGCCCAGGGGAAGGGTTTAGGAACAACACGGCAGGAAGAAAGGTGCCGAGCAGGGGGTCGGCTCAAGTGAGAAGATGAATGCATCAGCTCACAGGGCAGAAGGCAGGCTGGGGACACACGCGGACCTAACTCGTGCTGACCTAAAGAACATTACTGACCTTAGTTCTAACTGAGCGTGCAAGTAGTACCAGTGTCAGGGCTGATTTAAATTTGGGCTGTTGAGAGCCCACCCCTTAATCCCAGCAAATCCATCTGCGCTCCTTTGCCGTACCATTAACCCAGCTGAAATAAATAGGAACACAGCCTCATGACCAAAGAAAAATCCTTTTATGTGAATGTAAACAAGTCACACATTTTCCCTTCCGCCCCCCACTCAGAACTTCTCTGGAAAAGCCTCCATTTCTTCTTTGATCCTGTTTTCTACAAGCAGGGTGAAGTCACTGTCCATGTTTTGAAGGTTGTAGCTGACAAACACCTGCTTGTTCGTCTTCCTGGCTGGAAGAGAGCACATGACGACAGCGCCATGACCACAGCCCACAGGCTCCAGGCTGCAGCCCCGCCTGGCTCTGGAGACGCTGGGGTTAGTGGGCGAGCAGCCCAGGGGCGGATGCCACGCGTGTGGGCCACGCAGCCCTCGCCAGCTCCACGTGGGTTCTCAGGTGTGGGCCCCACACGAGCAGCCCCACTGGAGCTTTACAGATGCCGCTTCTCGGCTCCACGCCCCTCCTGCACCAGATAGCTGGGGTTCAGCCAGCGACAGTATTAACAAGTCCTCCAGGGACCCAAACGCTAACGATCAAGAACCTCCTCTCTCTCTCTCTCTCTCTCTCTCTTGCGGAACGAGGGATTGAGCTCATAATATGTTAAAGTATTTAAAATATTAGTGTCCTTTGAGTACCAGTTCCCTCTACCAACTCCACTCCCCTCCCCAAGGCAATTCCACATTTCTACACACCCACGTGCACACCTTCACACCTGTTTACACATCCACATGTGCACATCCACATGAGCGACTTCTGGCACTGGAGCTGAGTTTAGCCCCTTCAACAGAACACACTATGACTGCACGGTTCCAACTGCAAACCAAGTAGTCACACAGGCCCAGACTCAGGGAAAACACGGTGTCCCTCGAGGCAGCCCCAGAGCGGGTACCGTGCCCCAGGAGGCCTCCTTCCACCCTCCACTCCTTCGTGTTCCCTGAGGTTCCCTCCCAGGAACATGAAGCCACCTGCCTGGTGACTGCAGGCCAGCTCAGAACACCTCACTAGAACCTGGAAGGATCAGCTCAGTGCTTTGGCCGCTGTCCTGGCCACAGGTCACATGGCAACAGGGACAAGGTCTGGCATAGTGACCTTAGGAAGACTGGGCTCCTCTCTGCCCCAAACCAACTGGGAAGGCCCTTCAGGCTCGAGGCCTCCTTGCAGATTCAGGAAGGCAAACCTTGGGCACTCCATGGACTCTTTTCAGCTACTCAAGGCTGTAGCAGGGCTTCAGGCTCAGAGAGCTTGTGGGCACTACCTGACAGGCTGCTAGGAGAGCTTGTGGGCACTACCTGACAGGCTGCTAGGAGAGCTTGTGGGCACTACGTCACAGGCTGCTAGAAGAGCTTGTGGGCACTACGTCACAGGCTGCCCTCCTTCTGGCACAGCCAGCGCACCTCTGGAGGAGGAGAGGAGCAGCCAGCTTACTGCCCTGAGGGAAGCTGAGCCTGAAGACAAGGGCTGGGGGAGGCTGGCAGGAGAGGGCACTGCACCACCCAGAGGCACACTCTAGGCAGGCTCACAGCCCTGGGAGCACAGCATCCCCCAGAAAGCAGGACGCATTGTGCGCCCACACCCTTACCTGGGGTAGGGAGGCCAGAGGTCCCCCATCACTCCCCGACTTCACCTCCTCTCAGGTGAAGGCAGTCTGGGAACACTGGGCTCTGCAACTAGTCAAACAGGGCTGCTGCCTGGCAGAGTGCTGCTGGGATCCCCGCCAGACTACACCTCCTGGGTCAGCACTCGGTAGCAGGAGGGTCCTCTCTACACAGCCCACTGCAACTCCACCCCTAGCCTGGCCCCAGGCAGCAGTGTCTTCTTCCTTCTCCTTCTCCTCCCCTTCCTCCCCTTCCCCCTCCCCCTCTTCCCTCTCCCCTTCCCCTTCCTGTCCTTCCTCCCCCTCTTCTTCCCCCTCCTCCTCCTGGCAACCTGGCTTGATCTATGCACTGCACAACAGGGACCCCTGGGCAATGCAGTGGCCACTCTGGGCTGCTGGCCTTAGACAAAGAAGCCCACCCATCTGCAGACAAAGCGGCAATGAGCCTCTCTCTCTGGCTATCCTCGAGCCTGCTGGACTTTTTCGATAAAACCCAGATTCGCAGCTCACTGGACGAGACCCTGCCCCTGACCACCCAGCTATCACCACAGATGGCTGCTGTCCCGTGGCTATGTCGCAGGTGAGGGCACACAGTAACCCATGCTGCTTCCTTTCGAAGCAAAAAAACACACAGTAAGTCACTGGGAAGCAGAGACTCTTGAGCTGGCTCACACAACCCAGATAATAACATGAGCCCTCGAGAGAAGGATACTGACTAGAAAGTGGGTGTGGGCTGGGGCTCCCTGGGCACGCCTCTGTCTTCTCTGCAACCTTCCTGTAAGTTTAAACTTATCCCTGAGAAACATACAACAGCACACACTAGTCAGCCCTCTCCCACTCCAGGCTGCAGGAGCAGCTACAAGCTCCTCCGGGACACACACAGCCCTCCTGACCTGTGCACGGCTAGTCTGACAGGCTGGGGCCACCACTGCTGCCTGCCCTTAGCGCAGGGCGCCCTCCCTGGGACAGCTGTGTGCTACCTGTCCCTGCGCATGCACCTCAGGGTGACAAAACAGATACTTCCACTCTTTCTCAGTACTTGTTTTAAGACAGGGTCTTGCTGTGTAGTACATAGTTGAGGCTGGCTTCAAACTCACAGCAATCCTTCAGTCTCAGCCTCCCAAGGATGAGGCTCACAGGTGTGTACCAGCACCCCTGGCTCCAAAGATGCTCACACTCAGCAGGGATCAGCACCCAGCACCACTGAAGGGTGTGCGCTCCTCTGAAGTGACCCCTTTCTGCACTTCGCCTGCCTGTGGCTGGCCCTGGAGCTGAAGAACTGAGGACACAGGGCACACGCCCAGGCCCGGGCATGCTTGCACAGGCCCCTGAGGCTGAGGGTGCTTACCTGAGCAAGCTGGGGGCTCACAGGCGTGTTTGGGTGCCAGGAGGGATGCAGCCTTGACGTCCTGCTCTCTGCTCATCCCCCACGCTGCACACCCTCCAAGGCCAGGCGACTGCTATGCCACCAGGGCCTGGCACCCCACAGGATTACAGGACAGCCCCTGCTGGGACGATAACGGCTCTATGGGGACCCTGCTCACACGAGGACCCACGTGGGGTCTGACTCCAGGGCATCACCCAAGCCTTCCACCACAAGGAGAGGAAAGGAAGGTGCAGTGTGGCCTTTGGACACGGCGGAGGTCACAGGAGACCCTGGGAGCACTTGGGTCCCGAAACAGTGCAGATGGATGGGCCTGGAGTCACTGCTGGCCCAACACACAGGGGCTGTGGTTCCGGCGGAACTCAGCCTGGTGGGGACCCCCCTGGAGACCTACCTAGACGCTGGGCGAGGCCAGTGGAGGTCGTGTCTGAAGTGTTTCCAAAGAGGGAGGTGCACACAGGGATGGGGTCCTAGAAAAAAAGCAGTGCACACCGCAGGTTCCCCAGGTGCAAGTGGCCAGGCTCCCGCAGCCTCTGGCCCTCCACCAGGGCAGGAGCAGGTTCTGCCAGGACAGCCACAGTGCTGAGGGAAGAAGAGCTTGTACCTGCCCACAGCCTCAGAAGCGCTGCCACCCCACCCTTCAACACAACGGAGGTCAGTGGAGCTGGGACAGCACAGCCACCCGCAGTAGAGCTGGGAACAACCTCTAGAAAGGATCTCGCACAAAGGGTTTTAGTGTCAGGAAGCCAAGAGGACCCTAAAGGCCGCAGCAAGGAGAAAGTGGATCAGACTGTGGCTGCCTACTGCCCTGGTCCCCAGCAGAGAGAAGGACCCTAATCTTCTCCTCTTGGCCTTCGAGCGTGCATAGCCAGCCCCAGCCCTCAAGGTGGTGCGGGCTTCTGTGGGTCAGCAAGGACGCGACTGTGGCTTGGAGAAGGACACCGGCCACCAGGCACCAGCCAAGCAGTGGACCAAGACCCAGACACCTGGCCAGTCTCATTCCAGAGACAGGGCAGCAAGATGGAAGGAGGAGCGCGACCTATGTGAAGAGACCCACGCAGCCCTGGGCAAGCCTGGGCGCAGTCTCACTCCAGTTACTCGCAGGCCATCTCCCCTGCCATTAACAGGGTCTAGCACGAAAGGGAAAGGCACTTACTAACTGGAAACAGAGCCAAAATTGCTTTTCATCCAAACAGCAGACTTCAAGGAGAACCAGAGGGAACGGAGCTCTGGGAACCCTGTGGTGATGATGACTTTAGCGGGACAGAAACTCGGGTCGTGCCCACGTGAGCCAAGTGCCCTGCACAGCCACTGTGTGCCACACGCTATGGCAGAGCACACAGCAGAGCCTGCACCTGTCTTCTGAGGACTCAAGGCTATTGCTTCCAGAATGCATTCAGGTCCTACAGAAGATGCGAGCAAAACCAGGGAAGAATGAAACAGCTCCTGTGTGTTCTGGTTGGAAAAGATACAAAGCATAATGGTAAGGAATGCTCCTCTGTTAACAGATGCCAGGAATAGTGTTCATGCTAAGCTTCCTGGAATATGCAAATCTAAGCCTAGACGGGCTTTTTCTGTTAAGCCTAACAGCTCATGACTACCTGAAGCACCTGACATGGGCCGGTCACATGCCCAGGTGGCCCTGCCAGATGAGGAGGGTGCCACCTTCCACTGCTCTTGGGCCAGGGAATCCTAGGTCCCAGGCCAGCCTCTCTCCAACTGGCCGGGGCTGGCATCATCCAGTTCTGGTCTCCTCAGACACCAGGACAACTTGTTCTTGCTCGTGCAAAGCCAGGCACCTGGAGGAACAGTGCACAGTGCGTCCACAGTGGCTCTGGCCCTCTGGGTTGGGGAAAGGCGGGAGCTCTCACAGGCCTTTGTGCTCCACTAAGGGCCAGCAAACCTTTCCTGGGACAGGCCACAGAGTAAGGTGCTAGGCTCATGGGGCCAAAGGCCTCTGTCACAGCTGCGGGCTTGGCCAGCAAAGCCCTGACCCAAGGCGCAGGCTGATGGTACGGGCCCTCGTCCTGCTCAAAGGGAACTTCAAGCCTCCTGTTTTTCCGTTTCTGAACTGGCTCAGCTCTCTGCCTCCAGAGGAAACATGTAGGAACCCAGTCCGTAGGCACAGAGCTCTCACAGGTTCAAAAGGGAGACTGGTCCCTTTTGCTGCACCTGGTCATGATGGAGGATGGCTCCACTTGAGAAAATCCACCTGCTCTGAGCTGGGACTTCTAAGCGGTTAGATCCCAGAGAATTTTATTTACTTACTCGCTCAAAGCGGGGCTGCAACAGTCCTAAAAGGGACACCCGGTCTTCCCAGAGCCACCACCTTACCCCCCCTGTGTTACCAAAGCCTCGGGACAAGAAGGAAGAACGCGTGCAGTGGCTCCTGCATACCATCCTGCATCCCCAGGCTCGCACCCTCCTCCAGCACCAGAAGACCCGTAACCTAGCTGCCGGTCACCTGAAAGCACACTCAGGAGAACAGGGATGGAAAGGGCCGAAGCTGCTGGGTGAGGACATCAAGAAGTCCCCAGGCGATGCTGTCTCCTTCTGCAGGCTCTCCTGGGAGACCTGCCCCATGACCTCGCCTGGCCCGCTGCAGTGCAGCGCTACCTCCTTTAGGGGCCTCAGTCAGTCACTGCAGACTTCTCCAGCCGGCCAAGGACAGCGCTTAGCACACAGACACCTCACTGGAACACTGCACACTACCAGCAGAGGAGGCCCAGCTTTGGGGTAAGCGGGCAGGGAGAAGGGCCACAGAGAAACAGGTCCTGTGCAGGCCCTGAAAGTCACTACAGCAGGCTCTGCGTTCATCTCAGCCTTAAACTGCCCGAGCCCCGCCCTGTGGAGAAATGGCTGGAGACAGTGCTGAGTGCTAAACGGTAGCCCCCTAAATAAATAAATCAGGCTGAAGCCCTAATCCCTGAAACTTTCCAAGGTGAACTTATTTGGGAAGTAGCTTACAGATGTAATTAAGACAAGTTGAGACCACACTAGAGCAGGCTTTACCCAGTAGGACCAATGTTCTTAAAAGCAGACTAGAGCTGTGGACGCAGTGCAGCACTTGCCTAGCACGTGTGAAGCTCTGGATTCAATCCCCAGCCCTGCAAAGGGAAAAGGAGAGGGAGGAGAAGGCGGGGCAAACACTTGGGGAGAAGCTGGGGCCACAGGACATGCAGACAGAGACAGCAGTGATACATTAGTAGCCAGGGACCGCCAGGAGCTCCAGCAGCCTCCCAAGGCTGGCCAGGGCATGGGGGTGCCTCCACCAGAAGGAACCAAGCCTGCCAACGCTTTGACTTTGGGCTTCTGGCCTCCAGGGCACAAGAAAGTAAAGCTTCACTGTCTTAAGCCACCCAGTTTATGAAGCTTTGCTCCAGTGATGAGGGAGAGGAGGGAAAGAAAGAAAAGCCAGGGTGGACCTCCGGACGCAGACAGGCAGGCGAGAAGGACCTCACTCTGCACACCGTAACTGACAGTAGCAACTATGGGCTCACCGACTTTGGGCGCACGGAGTATGAAAGAAAGATCAAGGAGGACAAGCAACCCGCATGGTGGCCATGTGACCATGCCTGTCATCCCAGCACTCTGGGAGGCTGAGCCCAGCCAGGCAACTTAGCAATCTGGAGAAACCTGGCTCAAAATTTAAAAATATAAAATTAATTTTAAAAGAGTTGGGAACGTAATCCAGCGTGAAGCCCCTGGGTTCGAGTCCCTTTACTAGAAGAAAAAAAGAAAAAAAAAAAAAAAACAGCAACTAGAAATATGTAGCCGCCATTAGAGATGGAGTGTGTCTACCCTGAGATTCGTATTAGATATCGGGAAGAAGCTGTCTGCGCTGGAGACATAAATACACACACCCGGGAAGGGCAAAATCGAGGTGTCCTGAGTTTAGGGTTGATGACGTCCCTCCCTCACCCCTGAGAGAGGGTGTGTGCCAGGAGGGAAATGGCCCAGTTCCCCTAACCCAAGGGTGGGCTAGCATGAAAGGAAGAGAGGATCTGGGCCGTGGGCCTGGCCGGCCAGCCCTCAGCAGTGCTGGGGAACAGACCCGGGCTCCCCAAGGCCCAAGGGAACACAGTGACCGCAGCCTGCTTGGTCCTGGGCTCACGCCCGCAAGTGCCTGGGGCCCTTGGGCCCCCC